CCCCCCCCCTCCTCGCAGCGACATCTGCCAAAACTTCAACCTTGGTAGATGTCAAAGGATGCCCTGCAGATACCTCCACCTGTGCTCCTACTGTGGCGGCGCCCACGTCAAGATAATCTGCCAAATTCTAAGAGCCAACAAAAAAACATCTAAAAATTACTTGTCGACTCCTGTGAATATTTCTAACCTTGCACTGAAATTAAGTTCTCACCCTGACACTAACTTCTCTGATTTTCTCATTTCGCCTTAAAGTTGACCTTTAGTCCCCGCACAATTCCCCTTTTCCTAGCTTTAACAGCACTATCCCATTGGACGAATATTAGCTTAACTACCACGACATCAATCAAGCAATCTCCTTAATAAAGATAGCTGGTCGTAACGCCTGGTTAGCCAAAACAGACATTTCATCTGCCTTTAAAATCATGCCAATCCACCCAGATTTCTGGCACCTTTTTGGCAGTCAATGGCACAATCAATTCTATTTTGCAGTCCAACTAACTGTCGGTCGCAAAAGCAGCCCAAAAATATTTGACATGATGTCAGAAGCTTTATGATGGATTCTGTCTAATAATTACGGAATCCCATACCTCATTCACCTTTTAGACGATTTCCTTATTATTTCTCCCCCATCATCCCCTCCAGCCAAACACCTAGTGATCACTCAACAGGTTTTTCGCTGATCTTGGATTTCCTCTCAAAGAAAAGAAAAAACTTCTGGACCCAGTACTTCAATTGAATTTCTGGGCATTAATCTAGACTCACATAAATTTCAAATTCCAAACTCCAGGAGAAAATCGACCGAATAATTTCTCTGTCCCAAATTTTCCTTGAAAACAGACGTGCACAAAACGAAAACTCCTATTTAATCTCGGCCATCTAAATTTCGCCATGCGCATCATTCCACAAGGCCATCCCTTTATTTCCCACCTCCTCCAATTATCCACCACAGTTCATGGTTTAGAAGAAACGCTCTGGTTACTAAAGTAACCGGGGAACGGAAATGCTATTAGTGGATTTTAATTATAATCCACTGAATGGGAGATTTTGTTTCAGAAAGCCAATTGTCTGAAAGAGTATATAACGGGCCAATGAAATGCCAATGAATTGGCAGCATAAGCTTGCGCACCTGGAACTTATTGCCAATTATCTCCGCATATAAGCACAGGTGGAGCAAGCACACGCTATTCTTTTAAGCTGAAGAGACTGAACTAACAGCTAAGGAACAGTCATTATGGTGATGCTAAATAGCATTTCCGTTCCCCTCCTCGGGAACGGGGGTTATTTTAGTAACCAGAGCGTTTCCTTCGGATAGGAAACGCCAATGCTATTAGTGGATTTTAATTATAATCCACTAAATGGGAGAAAGTATGGAAAAAGCCATAATGACTGCACCTTACCTACGCCTCTGATGAGAGGATAGCCAAGCAAGCGTGAGTGCTCCTGCATCAAGAGAGGCGTGGTCCTCCAACGTGGTCCCTGGCCCTTACTTATCTCACTTCAACAAAAGTTTTACGGATTTAGATATTTTTTTTGGGAAGTTGCAAGCGTCTAGATAATTCTAGGGAAAATACGACATACATTGGGAAACCATGCAGTCCCGATAGGGAAGATGCTGCGGAGGCCATCTGCTACCCAATGGGGAGAGATGATTTATAAAAATACATATGGAACAGCCCTGAGACATATGGAACAGCCCTGGGGAGTACGCACATAATAAGATGGTTAACAGAGAGGGAAGACACGAGTCCGCCCATGAGGGGGGACTGCACCGTGGCTGAATAAGCATATGGGATCGCCTAGTGGGGATCACGCAAAGCGGGCACCTATACCCAAATCGCGGGCTGACCAGCGGGCAGATCTTCAATGTAGTGGGCCAGCAAGTGACTCCTCCGCTGAGTCAGTGCTGGGGGCCTCAAAGAAATCTGCAGGGCTCACCTGACGGGGAACTTACTGACAGAAAAAAAGGCGCATGTATCTCCGTGTTAGGGAGAATGGTGCAGCAAGCGTGTTTCAACACCTTCACCGAGTTTTTTCCTCAATCACCAAGAGTTACCTAATACCCTTGAGGAAACCAGCTCCACTCGC